GGCCGCGTCCGCCCGCCGAGCCTCCGCTTCCGCTCACTTCCCGGGGCGCCAGCGAGGCCTCCGCGCCGGGGAGCAGGGCAGATAGTGCGCCCGCCTCGCCCAGGGCCTGGCCTGTGGAGACCCCGCTCCGCGTTATCACCCGCCATCGTTGGGCAGATAGGCCGCAGCGCGCATTCCTGTGCTCAGCAACTAGTTACTCGTTCCGCGAGGCGGTGCAGGCCTGGAGTTCCAGCGCTTAGGAGGCTGAGGCAGGAGGATCGCGTGTGTTTGAGACCAGCCTGGGCTACATAGCCAGACCCTGTCCCCAAAAACCAAACAAACAAAAAACATAGTCGGTGGCTGAGCTGAGGAGCGCACAGTCTGTCCGGGGAGAGCTTCACCAGCGTGCTAATGTAATAACACACACTCCAAGCACTTATAAATCAGTGTTTATGCAATTGCTAAACAATTCTTTATAGAAAAAACATTCTACATAGAACAAATTTCACATAACTTCAATACCCCTTTGCCCTTTGTTGTTTTTTTCTTTTTTTTTCTTTTTTTTTTTTTTGTCTTTTTGAGACAGAGTCTCACTATGCAGTTCAGGCTGGTCTTGAACTCACTTTGTAGCCCAGGCTGGCCTGGAACTTGCAGTGATCCTCCTGCCTCAGCCTACCAAGTGCTGGGATTACAAGGATGCACCCCCACACCCAGCTCTGCCCTTTGTTTTTATAACTCTTTTCTTTTCTTTTTTTCTTTTCTTTTCTTCTTTCTCTTTGAGGCAGGGTCCTTCTATGCAGCCTAGGCTGGCTAGCCTCCAGTGGAGACGCTCTTGCCTCAGCCTCCTGAGTGCTGGGGTCACAGGCGAGCGTCACCACGCCCAGCTAAGGTTACTCTCCGGGGATAAACAGCTTTTACTTGGAGCTTGGTTTCTAGGGTTCTCTCGGTCCCTTATCAGCTGGGTGACCTTCAGCAAATGGCTTAACCCCAGAGCCTCTTTCCTAATCTGCAAATGGGGGAATAATAATAGTACCCACTTTGGGTTGCTTGGGGATCTACTGAGATAACAGAATGCTTTGAAAATCCTAATCTTCTGGAGGGCTGCAGAAGAAAGAACTTGGATTTCAGAGTCAGAAGATCCGGATTCCGGCTCCACCAGACGAGAGCGAAAGAGGCCGCGATAAGGCCCCTGCGGGAGCTGGGGGCTGGGGGCGGCCCCGGGGCTGGCGAACCCCGAGCGGCCCTGCGTCTGACTGGGCGGCGGCCGGCTCTGCCCCGCAGGAGCGCGAGTCCCGACAAGCCTGGTGCTGCTGCGTCATCAGGCCCAGAGAATCCGAAATGCGACTGCGGAGCCCCGGAGGAAGTGGGGTGCGCCGGGGGCCCTGCCGCCTCGGCCTCCCAGGAGGGGCCCGGCTCCC